AAAGAGAAAAAAAGGGAGAAATGAAGAGTGCAACAAACTGCGAAATATAATAGGTCTGAGTTACGGCCGCGGCTGTGTGGTCCTGGTTTGACCTCCGGTCGCGCGAGGTAGTTAGCTTTGAGGCTTAACACACGGCACATGACGTACGCAACACGGCCTTTCCAAGCCGTAGAGGAGAGCGAAATGGTAGGTGGTGGTATTAATGCAAGCCTCTCGAGTTCGCTCGTCCAACGATGTTAACGCCAGATCGACTCGCGCTTTTATTACGTAAAATATCTTATCCGTGACTCGCGAGCGCTATCGCGATGATATGCTCATCGCTGCCGTTGCGTTTACGAGAAACCTTATCGCGTGCGCACCTAGGGCGCTCAGGAATCTCATCGCTTAAATTAAGTTATTTAACGGCCGCGCGCCCATCACAGGCGGGTTGATTACTTTATACTTGTACATTTGACGATAATAAATAAATGTACAGATGTTAATATGCGAATGACATATCAGGAGATGCCCGAGTTTTATTAATTGTAAATAATTGAAGTATTAATAATTAAATAAATAAAAGTAAATAATTAAGTATTAATTGGAAATAATTGAAAATAATTAGCGATAAAATATATATATAATAGCGAATATTTTCTATAAAAATTGCTTTTACCGCAAAAATATTTTAAGTAACATTTTTTTGGTAATAATGGATAACATAAAATAACATAAAATTATTAATAAAATTAATAAAATATAATTGATGATATAAAATAATATAAATGTTGAAAAAATATAAATTGATAATTATAAAATATAAATTTGATGATATTTCTCGATATAAAATCCTACCCCATAAAATTTTGGATTAAGTTTCATAAAAGATTTATAGAGACATCATGGGAAAATCCTACATTGAGAGCACCGTGTAATATTACTTGTCGAAGGAACGGGCTTTTCGTCGCCAGGGTAAGAACCGGCAAGGGCAATAGCGCGATTATCGCATTCGTGCAATGCGTCTACCGCATTTCGTAATCCAGACGAGACAGAAGTGCTCCGACGAATACAGAAAATGCATCCACGAGTGATCTGTACGCGAAAGGCGAGGTACGATTGCCTCGGCTCCGCTTTTTAATGCATCCCTATCTGCATCCGCAAACCGTTGCGTAAGACTTCGGAAATGGAATTCGCGGCTCGAAGGAAGAAATGACGAAAATTGAACAACGCAATGATTCATCATTCTTGCTAAAATTACGTCTCGTCTATAATTATGTATACTTCGTTGCAGCAAGAAACCTTGAAAGTTATGCGTCACTTTTTAATTAAAAATAGATTATTAACGAGCATATCTTATTAAAAAGGGAGAGCGTTTCTCAAGTATCTATTTCTTATCATTTCATATTTTTATCGTTTTACGTGTATATGTGGTACTTTCTGCGTGCAGCCTGTTCATTTAATTTTAAATATTGGCGAATTTTGAACTTTCTCAAAGACGAAGTTTTAAGAATACGATGTAACGTATACATCATCGTTCTCGAAAAAGCGCAGACTCATGCGCATCTCGTTATCGCTTCCACCGAAAATTATCGAGGCACGATTATCTCTTCCCTCCTCCTCACCACTCTCCTTCCTCCCCCGTTCCGGCGCGGTAAAAAAAAATTACCCTCGAGTCAAAGCGGATGCACCGAGCCCACCCGGCGCGATCGAAAGTCATTCAGTCGCCGGGGCATTCTGGCTGGCGGCCAGCTGACTTCGCACAAGAACGCACCGACCGGGGGTCCCGCGTACACCCACACACGCGAAGGAGAGCGAGATGCCTACGTACGTATCTACCACACGTGCAACGACCCCGTGAACTTGAACTTGCGCCGAGGTCTTGCCCGCTGGCCTGGCTCAGCTCAAATTGTTCGCCGAAACGTCGTTAAGCGGCGCGAAAAGAAAGGGGCCCCGACCTGCATACGGAGAGAGCCGCGCAGCGGCCTGTGCGCGAACGCACAAGAGAGGACGCGTGCATTCGCGGAAGGGTACAAGTGAGGAACACGAGGTGATGTTAATCGCTACCAGGAAATAGCAAGCTGGGGGATAGTTCCACTCCTGAAGACGCGACGTGGCCTGCAACATCAGCAGCGGCAGCAGCAACATCACCGGGGAACGGCGTGCGCGCCGCCTCTCTCTCTCTCTCTTTTTCTTCCTTCAGTTTCTAAACTTCGAGAAGCCGCGTCGGGGCTAGATTTCAGATGCACCGAGCGAATCTTTATGCCGCCATATGGCGGCGGGGCCTCTCTTTTCTTCCCTCTGTGCTCGCCCGCCGGTTTTATACTCCCGTCAGACAAGTGCGGACTCTCTTGTGAATGCGATTACGTGCTTCTCGCATAAACGCGATGACCGGTAGCCACTCCGCGCTCGCCTCGCCAAATTATGCTGACGTCCGTCGACCGCGCGTAGGGTCGTTTAACCCTATGTTGGAAAAGTCAGCGCGAACGAACGTTCCTTTCGATGTGTTCCCGATAAAAGAGAATCGATAAGACTCGATATATAATAATGACACGATGGTCCCTCCGCATGGAGCGTGCAAGGCGACGATTCCTGCCGAAGGGATGAAGGAGAAAAAGAGACAATAATGCGGGGGATACAAATTGAAGGGCCGAATTCAACGCTTTAATCTGATTTTTCTTTTCATCGTATCGAGATTTAAAATTTTTAAAACGTTTACGAATATATACGTATCGCGTAAATTCTTTCACGAGAAAAGAGCTAAATAATAGAATTTTCCATAATATATTATTAATTTAATAATATTAAATAATATTACTTCGATTTAAACGATACTTCTATAGAATTCTTATTTTATTTTCATTTAATTTTCTTTTTATCGAGAAATTTAATATTAAGAATTAAAAATTTGCGACGCACAAACAGACCACATGTCTCATAAGCTGAGAGAAAATCGACTTTGAAGTATCCACGCGAAAAAACATGCGGCGATTTTGGTACTCGAAGATAATTCCGGCCTGAAGGACAAGGTAAAACTCACTATGCGGGTCACCCCGTTCGCGCATATCGCGAGAGATGCATTATTCGATCAGATAACGGGCGGGAGTTTACGTTATCTCGTGACTGCTACCGCATAACTCTCGCCTTGCGCTCTCTGTCTCTTTTAATCGTTATGCATTCACGCAACTCTCGATCAAACTAAAAAAAAATTCAAAAGTTATATCTCTGAGAAATTCAATATGTCATTTATACAATAAAAATTAATTACAACAAATGTCGCATAATGCATAGTGTTAAATAATTCGCGACCATCATATATGTATATTCCTTAATAAGTTGTTTCGTCGCGTTATGTATACTCTCTCTTGGCGTAGATAGAAATATAATGTAATTAGTCCGTAACTATAAATGTCAAAGACTAAAGAATATGTTTATTAATTCTAAGCTTGTCTAAATAAAATAAGCAAAGTCGGCAAAATATTTAAATATACATACCTGTCGATGATTATGCACGTGTATTACCAGTGAAAAAAGAAACAGTACGTAAATAAAATCTAAAAAAAAAAATTAAGAAAATATTATAAATAAAAAAAGATTGATTTTAATCATTTTTAAATGTATTAGGTATACGTCGTAAAAATAATCATGATGCAAAGTGTCAAGTGATTCGCAATCATCTCCCTGTGTGCACGTGTGTCCCTCGATAAGCTCTGTTACGTCGCATTATGTATGCTCTCGAAATGCAGCGGCTATGAGAATAAAACGTAAGTACTTACCCTTAGTCGCGACAGGCGATTGCCTTTCTCGGAATTAGATAAGTCCCTTTATTGGTGATCAGATCATTGCTGCTGCTGCAGCGATGGTGCAGCGGCAGCAAGTTCAAGGTTGACCGGGTAAAAATAGCCAGATCTTGCCGGACTCCCGCTCGACGAACGTGCGGCTTCTCTCGCTGTGTCTGTTAACTGTGTGTGTTTGACCGGAAATGTACTGTCCTCTGATCGCCAAGACATTTCGAATCTCACCTCACCAAATAATTCTCTTAACTATCTGATTTTAGGGAACAAATAATTATTTGTTCGATATGATTATAATCATTCAAGATAATTCAAGTATTTTATCTCTCACATACGCACATACTAATTATTTAATATTTTTATTTAAAAATCGCTACTTGTATTTAACTTTTAATTTAATTTAATTTAATTTAATTTAACTATCTTCCTTCTATTGATTCTTCAGTCTTCTAAAAAATTTCAGATCCAAAAGATAATAAATAAATAAAAGATATAAAAATCACTTTTCCTAAGACAGATTAATGCGCCAATAAATTTAATTTTAGGGCCCGAGAAATATATAAATCCAAATAAATCTAGGAACAACCGTTAGTCTAACAGTTAAAAGAGAAACGCAACACAAAGCCGTTGATGAATATTAGAATTTGTCGATCGTGACAAGAAGCGCGCATGTACACAAATGCCATAACGGTACTTGTCGTCGTCAGTTTCTCGCGAAAAAGAAGAAACATACTTGCATCTCGTATAAAAAAAGAGTGATACTCAAGATGACTCGGACGACCCTCGCGCGTCTGAGTGAAATACCGTCCGCGGACGGTACCTTCCGACTACGGGGTATATAACGAGGTCGAGATCAACGGCTCTATAACGCGACCAGGATCCACTTTACTCTTGACTCTAAATCTCGCCAACTAGGTAAAGAGCACGCGCGTGTAAGAAAGATCTCTACTGTAGAAAAGAATCGCCAGATCCTTGATTCCTGCGTATTGGAAAAAATTGTAACGTCGTATCCTGTCGAATGAAATAAATCGCCAGATTATTGCACTTACCATCATCCGCCGAAGACATGATATAATTCCGATGATTAATTTCCTAAAAATTGTGGAATGGATTTTGGCGTAAGATCTTGACGACATTCGAGCAACATCCCGCTCGTAATAAGCAATAAAGAGAGAATATTGTATACTAAATATCGTATAATTATATATATAGTGAATAAAGTACATAACGTAATAACGCTAGTCTCAACGTTTTATTGAATATTCAAAGTGGTAACACTATTAGTAGCGACATTTCTTATAATGTGTAATAAACGATTAATCTAAAACTTCTGCTTTCGTAGCATCATCCCCATAGTTTCGTTATTTCCGTCATCGTCGCTGTATCGCGTTATCGGCAAATATCTTTTCCTGAGACGAAATACAAATGAATCACGTTCTTTTGCTTCGTCACACAATGATACAAGTACATAGATTTTATTAGAAATATTGCGAGAATCTAGCGTAAAATCGGTGACGAATGGATGTGTGTGTGTGTGTATTTTTGTATATATATGTATAATTATATATATATAATACGTATGCGCGAGCGTATAAAATTATATATATAATTATATATATACCTATAGATATATACAATATAGATATAGGTATATTTACGGTGTTGGATTCATCTCGGAAGCGGGGAGCGTCAAGAAAGAACTTTTCTCGCCGTGGAACTTTACTCGCGTCCGAGATAAATCCAGCTTTAAAAATCACGATGTCTATCTTTACGTCATAATTGTCTACCTATATTCAGGCATTTGTCAACCTCTCTCTCTCTCTCTCTCAAGAATTGGGGTGAACTCGATCGCTCAAGTCGATCGAAGGAACAACATATGTAAATTCAAGGTTGAAAAACAGGAGTGAGTCGAGTGGAGTGGATATATGTATATTACATCAAAACAGCAAAAAAATGAATCGTGATTACTCGGGAAGGGACGGATAGAGTCTTATCGAGGTGGGTTAATCGCGAATAGAGTGTCTATTGCACTGCTACGTCTATTGCAGAAGAGAGCTATTGCGATGATGTAGAATAAACGCTATATGATATGCCCGGAGTACGATTGCAAACTATACCCTGATTATTTTATCTCGTACAACAGTACCATAAATAACGGACGTTAACGATAAACACTTTCCTCGATCAGCCGAAAGAAGACATCAAAATTGTCTTTCAAACTCTATCTTTCCATATTTCATTTATTCCCTTCATTATTTTCGATGACGACAAAATCATTATTAACTTTATTTCTTAAAAAAAAAAACATGTATAACAATCTTTTTATATATATCAATGTAAATATTATTTTCTACAAAACTAATTTATTAAAAATAAATTTTATACAACTTCAACTCTGGATTATTTTATGATCGATCCGAGCTTTAACTTCTCACGTTGAATTTTGACAACGTGTTTTCGGTTAATGGATCGGCTTAAAAAGAAAAGTGTTTCTCGATTATTTTTCTGTTATATATTCACGATTGCATGACGAACTCGCGCAATCGATTTCGCCTCATCTCTCATGCTCCTGCATGCCTCATCTCAAACACATCTGTACTCCCTCGTACGGATTAATTATCGATCGCTTATGGCGATCGAACGCACGCATTAAAAAGGCTACGAAAGACTATACTTAAAAATTAATGAAACACAATGAGACAAGTGTACATCGTCGGTGCTTTTATCAAATTGTCCATTGATACGCCGCACTCGATCTCGCCGTGAAGGTTCGAATAAAAAATTGAGCTAAAAACGGCGACGGGAGGAAAAGAGGGAGGAAGGAGGAAGGTATGTGACAGGGGGAGAAAAGGAAAAAGGCGCCAAAGCAAACGAACGACACGCCGAAGGACGAGAGATACGAATAGCTTCGCAGACGGAATAGCTCGCGTTTCTCTCTCTCTTCTCTCTTTATTCTCAACCGATCCTGAATCCTGTCAAACGCTACTTCACCCGCGGACATTGAGAAGTACGTATACTTAAACAAGACCTCGTCGCGTTTCGCAAATGGTGAAGTTGCACGATTCTAGCTTGCAGATTCGAGCATATTCTTCGCACACAAAACAACGAATTAAATCCATAAGTAGTAGTAGTAGTAAAGTCCACGTATACATGGACAACATTTCTTCGGGAAAAGGAGAACAACACTTTCCCGCAATGGAAATGAAAATGTAGAGATGTTTTAATATACCTTCTTACGCGCCCTTATAAAATGCCGCTGAACAGACATCCCACGACACTACTCGCGACAGGATTTTCTTCTGCCCGAATGGCGCCGCCTCTCGAGCGGAACATCACGGTGTAACGAAATGATTCTGTCCGGGTTGTGCCGGTGGGTGGGCTTTTCTTCTACTTATCGATTCGATTTAATTCGCAGGAATTTCAACGCGACGTCGAGTTTTATCGCAGACACGGTTTTCTTCTTTTCCTTTTCGTTGACTGTCCGTTTCCGTTAATCTAATGGCCATTTTCTCCCTCTGTCTCTCTCTCTCTCTCTCTCTCTCCCTTTCACACTTTTTCCTCGCACGCACATACTTTAATACACTAAGGAGCTTAAGTAACTACCTCATCTCTGTCGAAAAATAGTACATCGTGTTCGCTATTCGGTCCCGTAGTTCCTTGCGTGCCTCGACCACTGTGCGCTTCCGGGAGCTTTTCTCTCCCGAAAGATATCTGACAAAACGAGTCGTGAATGAAGCGATCTCTATTCCATTCTCCGCTTCGCGAGAACTGTCACCTGAATCTTATTTCGCGCTTATTATCCACTTAATCTCACGATCACATCCAAATGGCAAATCGCTAACTCGATGTCGATGGTAAAAGCATCAATCGAACGGTTCCGACACGGAATGTTTGTAATAGCAATAGTGTCACGCTTGCGGGATGCATTCACTCGCCGCTTATCGATAAAATATCTTTAATATTATAAAGAATACGTACACACACGTACAGTTATGTACAATCGCTCGTGTCATACTTTCCTACCTGCAATAATTGTCCGTGTCGTCTTCTTGCGTTAACTTTCGAAGTCTTAAATTGGTGAATCGTAATATTAAGCTACGCAAGTGAATACTTGCGAATAATAGGAAAAGGTAGATATCCTTAGTACGTCTGTACGTCCGTTAAAAACGATTTTTTAAAAAAACTTACTTTCGAAAATCAATGTTTGATTAACGCGCAATATACTTTCGACCAAAAAAGGCAGTTTTTTTTTTTTTTTTTTTTTGTCAATATCAATAATATTAATATTATATATATATCAACTTCGTTTAAAAATATCGATATATATATAATAAATTGAATATAATTCTTTTATATTCGCGTGTTTTTTGGATCGCATATTTTACATATTCCAAGGTTAATTTTCGAAGGTAAGCGTCTTTCTTTCAATCGTTTCTAATTACACGATAAAGTTAGATCTATTGTCGATCTTGGCGATATTCTCGATGACGGTGATATTGCAGTCATTCGTTGGAAATAAACCTATTAATTCACCTTATGATAGCTTAAAGGTAATGATGTTAATAACTTTTGCGTTGAAAGAATGAAGGGGAGAATTCCTCTCGTAGAAAATGTCACGCGGAACGATAAAAGACGCGTTTCGCGATTATCTCGAATCGTGCTTACATATATGATATAAAAATTTTAATAACATCTCGATGAATAAAGTGAATATATCGACAAACAAAATTATACAAAACAATTATACAGCTGCCAATAGGCGATAGGATAAAAAAAAATCTACAAAGTAAGTGACAAGAACTTTAAAAGATAATTCTTTCTGTACCGTTTCTCTTGGCATTTTTTTTTTTTCGAAACCTCCACATCTTCCGTCGATCATCTTTCGGTATTACTGTGTGTCATCATGGCCGTAACGCATTCTTTCGGACCACCCGTTACACTAGTCATCCTCGTGTGAAAAGGCTCTCTTTAGGATTTTTACGTCTGCACGTTCGAGATACACGGAACAATTAGAGAATAGGAAATGTCACGCTCGAGAGGAGCCTCCGAATGGCTCGCGCGTTTCCGGCAAGCCTTTTCTTTTTCCCATCGATAGTACCGTATTTCATTCAATGCAATTTTACCGCGCGCTTTGTTCTTTTTCTCTCCCTCATAGATTTTGCTCTCATTCGCGTCGCACTTTGTGGTTTCTCCTCATGATGGGATTAAAAAAAAAAAAAAAATTCAAGAAAAGGAGTATCATCGGGAAACAATCTGAATACCCCGTTTAGAAACTAACTTACGCGATGACAACGTCGTGCGTGCACAGTTGACGGTCGATCGGACACGAAGCAGATCCGCGACGAAGATAGCAATGAATTGCTTGTCAACAATGACGAGCGTCCTTCTTCTTCTTTGTCTTCTTCTTCTTCTCCTTTTACTTCCCATTGCACTTCTTCTCGTTTGCGTTTGGTCGAGCTCGCGCGATAGGAACACGGAAGATTTCTCGTCAAGTGAGGATTGGAATTGGTCGCGATCACATTATACCGTCTCAGCCAAATAGGGCCCATTGCATAAAATCGGGCACTTCTCTCACGGGTACGTCCCTGGCCAGAGCCTTCACCCTGAGGTTCCGGTCTTCCGTGAGCAGGACCACCTCCCGTCTCAAACGTCGCGGCTGCCCTTCCTCTGCTGGGGCAAAAGACGGGATTCCCCGAAATTTTTTTTATTAAGTTTGCGCGACCCTCTCGAAGCCCTCCCGCTACTATAACGCATTTATTCTCTTTCCCCGGTACTCTTTGATAAATTGAAACTAGCGAAATATTGCCTCTAGACGTCCTTTGATAAATTTGGGAAGGAGATTATCCTCTTTGACAAATTTAGAGTCAACTGTACTGCCGAAAAAAATATCTTCTTCTCTTGGGAAGATTTAAAATAGAATTATAGATGCATTCCGCGAATAGTGTCTGACACAATTAATTATCAGGAAAACGAAAAAAATTATAAAATGAAGAATAATATTTCTAACTCGAAGCACTGGATGAAAAGATTCCTACCTGCGTTTGCCTGATCCTTGTTGCTCCTACAGAGGCTGAGGCACGTAGTCAATATCCTGTCATCATTTCGTGTCAATCCATCCTGAAACAAGACGGTTCAAGTTCGAAAAGAATACATCGATAAATTCGATATATAATTACGTTCGCAATTTCAGTTGAACTCTCGTATTTGTCACAGAGACTGTCATTAAAATTGAGTCTTCAAAGTGAGACATTACGTCGGCACAAAGATAAGCAGGTATGAAGTCGCGATGCCACGGAAAACGATCCGCACGTACACCCGCGTGGGTGTTCTCGGATACTCGGCTCGTTATCATAACATTCGCGCTTCAATGAACACCGTGCCTTAACTTTCTTCGTTGCCATTGATCTTCGGAACGACTACTTCTGTGTTGTATAATACCGTGTAGCTGTTAGAATCCTATCGACTGCATGTCAAAATCGTTTCGCTTTATCGTGTCGCCTGTCATTATAAATTGCAGGCGTTCAGATATAAAGTTGCGATAAAAGTATAACAAGCCCTTGATATAATTCACATACTCGAATCAGTTAAGCGTATTTTGTAATCGCCAGTGTGATATTTAAAATCATATTATCTATTTAACAGAATATAAAATAGATCGATGACAGATGGAGATAAATGACGAGTTTGGAGAATAATGCGTGGCAATAACTTTAAAAAATTTTTTTAAGTCGTTAGACAAAGAAAGCAAATCCTACTCCGGTCAACGATCAATCGCAAATTTGCCTTCTAAATGTCCCGAAAACATCGAATACAGTTACTCAAGAAGCCAACGTAAGCGTATCGAATCGCTGACGTTCTCGTTCGCCGCTTCTCACTTACCTTGTCGACGTCCTCCTCCGCCGTAAAGGTGCTGGATGGCAGAACGGTGCCTCTTGTGGTTATGCACCGGATCGCCGGATTTCGGCTCCTTGCGAAGGCCAGTGCCGTCTTGGCGCTCTCAGCAACTCGTGCCACATGCTCGGGATTCAGAGTTGCCCTCGACGCTGGAGGACAATCTCTCGCGTCAGCGCCCCGTGCTAGACCTTCGAGTTCGTTCAACACTGCAACAAAGGATATCATTGCCGCTCGTTAAACACGCACATCTAAGAATTCGCAGTATCCGTCTGATGGGAGGGGGGGGGGGGGTAATAAAATTAATTCATCATTGAATCGATTATTTCGCAAAAAGCGTGAATTCTTGAGAAATTAATGCCTGTAGAAGAGAAATAGAAAAGAAGACTTATATCGAAAGATATTAATCTTCCATCATAAAACACTTGTGTTCATTATGATTCGTATAATAGTGTGACGTATTTTATTCGACTTTATATCATTGGTTTTTATATATACACACTGTTTTTCGAAATTTATTGCATTTATAATTAATTTTTAACATTTTATTAAACACAAGATACAAACATCATATTAAAAAAAATTTGATAAAATTTAAGATATATAAAAAATACGATTCAAGTATGAATATCGCGATGTTTCCATCATTTTGCCCATGAAATTTGGTCAGATAGTGACGCTCATTCAATGATGATCGATACATAAAAAAAAATGCTACACTTTCTTAAAATTTTTGTAATAATTCATCATTCAAGATTATTATTTTCCTCTTCATAAATACGGATTCGTTATCGAAAGCGTTGAAAGAGAGACTGTCTCTATGACTATTAACGCTCTCATAATAACGATCTCATTCTCATGGCCGAGATTGAGAGAAACGGGATGGCAACGTGTCGTTAAGGCAAAGGATCATCACACAGCTACGCTCAAAAGCTCTCTCTCAACCTCATCGACGACCATCGGAATATCGATATCGCCCACGTACCGATCGTAACCGGGATGCACCGCCGTCGTCGTCTTCGAGCCAATCGCGGGCGTTTCAAACCACATACATGCATTCATGAGCCGTGAGAACCTAACTGTGAACGCTCACCGTTGCTGGCCGGGTCGGCGAGCCAGACGGGCCCGTGGTCGACCGACTGGCTCTCCGACGAGGTCAAAGGGCAGCGAGCCGGCCGATTTTGCATGAAGGCGCACTTTCGTTTTTCGGCCCCGCACGAACGGCAAAAAGGAAAGGGAGAAATACGCCGAGCGAAAAGATAACAGAAGATACTTTTTTTTTCTATAATATAATGGCAATTTTTTTTACTTTTATTACACTGGTATATTTTGCTTCAGAGACACTGTTTGTATTTTCTAATTCCCCATCATGGATAATCACAAAAGTCATATTTAATTTTGTTTGATCGGATCCAATTTTTTAAAAATATAGAATTATTCGAAATTCTTGAAAATGTCCATTTGTTAAAATCGTTGACTAGAATATCATTAATTCAATTGTTATTACATTAAACTGTTATGGCTAATAATTTAAATGTCAAAACGACGCAAGGTTTCGAGTGACATTTAATAGACATCCACCTAGGGTGCCTGTGGACCAGAATAAATTTTTTTAAATTAATAATTAAGGGACTAATAATTATGAGACTTTTTTTATTCTTAACATTTAATTTATCACATTAAAAGATGTAGTTAAAAAAAAATTTTTTACATATTTTGCGGGATTTTCCAATTTGTTTTTCAGTTTTTTTAGAAATTACAAAAAACCTGATGTGATGCAGAAAATCTAAAAGCAGATTTAGATTCAGGGCACTAAAACTGACTAAAAACAAGCGTTTCTTTTATTAAGATGCAGGAAAGTTTTAGAATGCATAATTGATTTATTAATACGCTTGCGTAAAAAAGAGAGGGGTATCATCAATTAATATTTAACGAATTTTTATGATACAATTTTTATTACACGATTTCGATGTGTAGCAGAATTAGAAAATCTAAAACTTTAAATTATCATTAAGAGAAATAAATATGTAAAAAGAAATTCAGAAATTGATCTCGCACTTTATTTGCTATATCATCCTCTGAATCCTTTATCTCTTCTGTACAAACAGAGATTTTTTTAGCAAGGAAGATTATTGTGGATGCTGTGGGGGAGCTTTTTCGACTCCATTCGCCACAGATTGCGCGAAGGGAAGCAATCTACGGAAAATGCAAATAGGAGAGATTCAGCAAACTTTCCCCGACTCAATAAATTAACTGGCTGCCAGCCTTATCCTCCTTCCAGACCCTACGAGCGAACAGACATAGGGTGGCGGATGAAGTTTACGAAACAGAGGGGCGGAAATAGAAAGAATAACTGCGGAGCGAGAGAATACAAGAAACGGTGTTATTTATCACCTAGACTTGCAGACATCATTTATTATCGCGCGATAAATAATCATTCTTTCGCTGAGATATAAACGTAAGCAATAATACTTAATGCTTAGCTTTGGAGCGAAACATAAATGTTGAACTAAAACTTTACTGTAACGTGTAACAAATTGTAGAGATCAATCTTAATTCTTCATTTGATATATTTCTTCATTTTAATTTTTTTTTTGCATCTTGATTTTGCATCTTAATCTTCTTAATTTTTCATATTTTGTGCTTTAATCTTACATTTACTTTATGCTTAAACGAGATTTTTCATAAAATCAAGTAGTCAAAAAACCTAACGAATACGATGAGCCACGACTAATCGATAATGGCGATAATGCTTACCATCGTAATCCTCGAGACAAAACGTTTGTCCTTGCCCTATCGCAATGGCCACGACCTCGCCTAACAAAACGTTTCGGCATTCGAAGCTCTTCCGCCAGAGTATCGACGAATAATCCGTGACAAAATAGGACGGGCAACAGTGACGTAAGCTTTCGCAAAATATATATACCGCGTGCCTCATTATTGGCACCGTGAATCAATTTTGCTGAATCGACGATTGGATCAACGCAAATTGGCGATAGCGATGATGATTGATGAGCCTTTCGATTTCCAACGGCCTTGAACCTTGACACCAGCCTTGTCTCCGATCAAAAAGCAAGCGTCTGCCGCGTCAAACTTTCACGATCTTTTTAAGAAGCTTTGTCGATTCAATATTTAAAAAAAAAACATCGCCTTTTACGTTACAGCTAACACATGGTGTTTTTAATTAATTTGAAAGATCCAATTGCTACAATCTCGATGAAAATTGTTTCTACGATATATCGCATGAAAATCGCGTAGCGCGAATGCGCGATCCCTAAGATAACGATTCATGATACACAAAATGAACACATCACGAGAGATTAGACACTCGAGCAAGTAAGATGTGACGCGTGAAGCAATAAATGCTCCGAATGTCTATCCTGTCGTTATAGCCGTAACTCCAGACGCATTTACTGTAAAGCACCGTGAAAATGTCAGCCATGCCGTGGAAGATTGTAAATTTATCGCCGATTGCATTTCTCGTTGAGTATATAGCGAGTGCTTATAAAGCGCGACTATTAAAAAAGAAACAACCGGTCGTACCCGTCGCCCTATGCGTCATCGTAGTCGTCATCATCATAGGCCGATTGACAGAAACAAGCTGTCCTATCTCCATAAAAGATACCTTGGTTGGAATGTGACTGATGTGACGCACGATTTGTTGCATCGCCATGATTATCGTCGTTGTGTTCAATAAATTAATCTGCCAAGTGAGAACTTAATTATCTTACGAGAAAGAAATCTTTCTTATTTTCAAGAACGATTATTTGCAGCAAGAGATGCAATTTCAAGAAATTATCGTACAAGTAATATATAATAAACTGAATTTTTTAGCTGAAATTTTAATATGCGGAACTCGTTAACTTTTATTAAACGATATCTATACCGATTGATTTAGAATTACAGTACACGCCTCTCGACAAGCATCTCATCGAACTAATACGCGTTTTGTTATTCCTCGTGATACGGTAGTATGATTACCGCTATCTGGATTACAACGCCTCACATAACGTTCATCGAAGCGAATAATAATTAACGGATTCTAATACGATGATATAATAAAAGTGTCATAAGACTTAACTAGAGCACAACGACACGCGTATCGAAAGTTCTGTCTTGTAGAATTTCTTATATTAGATTAGATATAATTCTTATATTAGAATTTAAACTCTTATCTATTCTTTCACAAAAATATAACCGAGAGCTACTAATTATCAGTTATAATAATCTCACTTCCGACATTAAATACATTTGACAATTAACATCGCATTAAAATCCTATTAAAATTTCAAAATTGATAATTACATCCAGCAAAATATATGTATTTATTCCCGAATCTAAAAATTTGTATAAATTATATTTATATCTCTGATAAATATACATAAGCGCATCACAGCTGTTATCTTTACATAGCGGAACTAGTGCTCCGGATTTAACGGCTTCGAGTACGGCCGAGATTGATTCGGACCGGATCCCGACATGGGACCGTTAATAAAGTGAAGGCGCACTCTGACAGCGCGCGATCGGCGACGCTTGAGAGAAATTGCTCAACTCTAATTGGAGCGGAGGAATCGGCGGCAACTCTCGCATTCCTCGGCGTCATCATCCTCCACCGTCGAGGAGCTGACGCAAGCGCCGTTAATGGCCGGTTATCGGTCGCAGTTCGATCCGGCAAACGCGGCTCTCGCGGACAACGACGACAAACGCCAGGGATAAAATGGGACAATCCATTCTCACGAGAGAATGGAGGGAACAGGAAAGTTCCGCGACAGGTGACGATGGCGTAATGACGATGACCCGATGAACTATCCTCCGCTAGAGATCGGCGACATCGACGACGGTAAACGTCGTGGACGAAGCGAGTCGGCTATGTTTGCGTAGCGACGATTGCTTTGACCTCCCCCCCC